TTTTAGGGAATTTTTGAGGATTTTTAAAGGGAAAATTTGGGGATTTTTTAGGGAAATTTTAGGGATTTTTTATTTTTAGGGAATTTTTATGGGATTTTTGTGGGACTTTTTAGGGAAAATCTGGGGTTTTTTTTGGGATTTTTAAAGGGAAACTTTGGGGCTTTTTGGGGGATTTTTTTGGTATTTTTTTTCTTAATATTTTAGGGAAATTGGGGAGATTTTTTGGGGTTTTGTTTGGGATTTTTTAGGGAAAATTTTGAGAGATTTTTGGGATTTTTAGGGGATCTTTTGGGGGGAATTTTTTAGGGCTTTTTTAGTGATTTTGGGTTTTTTTGGAAAATTTGGGGATTTTTTTGGGATTTTTTTTAGGGAAACTTGGGGGACTTTTTAAGAGTTCTGGGGAATTTTTGGGGATATTTTAGGGAAACTTTGGTGCTTTTAGGGGGAATTTTGGGGCATTTTTGGGGGTATTTTTTATTTTTAGGGAAATTTTGGGGCTTTTTTTGGGATTTTTTTAAAATTTTTTAGGAAAAATTTAGGGGATTTTCTTGAGAATTGTGGGGAAATTTTGGGTGAATTTTGGGGCGATTTTGGGGGAAAATTTTGGGGGCATTTTGGGGAGAATTTTTTTGAGGATTGGGGGGGATTTTGGGGCTGTTTTGGGGGGATTTTGGGGCTGTTTTGGGGGATTTTGAGGAGATTTTGGGGGGGATTTGGGGCTGTTTTGGGGAAATTTGGGGGAAAACTTGGGGGTGATTTTGGGGAGAGTTTTGGGAGGATTTTGGGGGGGTTTTTGGGGGGATTTGGGGCTGTTTTGGGACAGTTTGGAGGGATTTTGGGGCTGGTTTGTGGGGAATTTTGAGGAAATTTGGGGACATTTTGGGGTTTGGGCAATGTCCCCAAAATGTCCCCTCAGTGTCCCCAAAATGTCCCCAAAATGTCCCCTCAGTGTCCCCAAAATGTCCCCAAAATGTCCCCTCAGTCTCAGACCTGGAGGCCGCCCTGGAAGCGGAGAAGGCGAAGCAGCCGCCACCAGCGGCGGGTTGGTGTCACCTGTCCCTGTCACCTGTCCCTGTGTCACCTGTCCCTTGTCACCTGTCCCTGTGTCCTGTCCCTTGTCACCTGTCC